CAAATCCAAAATAATTAGCTTCCATAATCATGAACATGCATGTAACTCATTTTATGTTCAAAACCCAATTTCTTCCTAATTCCATGAATTTAATCCCAAATCCTTCTCAATCTCAAGAAATCTATGATACATGTAAATTTACAATACCCATGATAAAGGTTCAATCGCTAATTTTTAACATAATTTTCAAACACTTCCAAAATCCAAGTAAACTCGTATATGTATAATTCAACCTATCAATTTCATGATTCTACTTTCAATTTGGGCGAAATCATTAATTATCATTATGAATAAACTTAGGGTTTTCAAGAAAAATCAAGACTTTCAAGAAAAATTAAAACTTCTCACACCACTTCTTTTTATTCCAATTTTCCCATTGATTATACACCCAAGGTTCATAATCCGTTATCTTAACCCAACAATTGAATCCCAACACTTCAAACCCTAAACTTCTAATTTCTATGATATAATACTATATGCTCAAAAATGTAGATTTTGCATTTGTATAATCAAAATACCACAAATCTATCTATTAATGCAAGTATTGAAGAAGAAGTAGGACCCCTACCTCAAGAATCAAGAAAATGAGCAAGCTTTGGTGAGATTCCTTCGCAAATCCGAAATTCCAATCGGTAGAAAATGTTGATCTTCAAGCCTCTTCACTTTCTTGGTAGGAGATCTTGGCCAATCCTTAGGGAAATGGAAGGTATTTGAGGTAAAAAACCTAGGGTTTTCGGACCTAGGGTGAGAGGAATGAAGAAGGAAAAGGAAAATGCAAAGAATGAGCCAAAAATCACGTTTTTAAGCTGCTGAATTCGCGCAGTCCCGCACGTGCGCCGCTTTTCCCGCTCGTGCAGGACTGCATGAATTCAGCAGCGTAAAATGGACCTAATTTTAAGGCCTTGGTAATGTTTCCGAGTAATTAAAATTGGGGCGTGACAGATTGTGGATTCAAATAATAAAAAAAAAGAAAAAAAAAAACCAAGAAAATGAAGTAAAATAAACTAAATTTATTTAATCTTTTGTTTTTTCTCTTGATAAATATGCTATGTAGAAATTTAACCATTCCAATCATAAAATAAAGTAAAAAAAAAAAAAAAACTCCTGAAAACGATATTAAAGGGAGGTGATACAAAAGGAAAATAAAGTAGCTAGACAAAAAGAAAGAAAAAGAAAATGTTTGAAAAGAAAGAGAGGAAGATGAGAAAATAACAAAACAACCAAACCTAATCCATGAAAAAGAACTACTACCTCCAAACCCCCTCTAACCCAAAACAAAAACCAGAAAAAAAAATGGAAAAAGAGAAATGACAATAGTTTAATGGGTTTTTATTTTTATTTTTATTCAATTAGTTAATGAAATAAGAAAAGGCTTAAGACTTTTTAGGGGTGTAGCAGAGAGACATACCTTAAATAAGAAAAGGCTTAAGACTTTTTGGGGGTGTAGCAGAGAGACATACCTCTTGAGGCATGAGTGTCTTGGGAATAACTTTGTTGAGAGACAAGAACATGACAAAAAAATTAGTTGTAATAGAGAACAAAACCAATAGCAAACTACAGACCCAACTCATTGATCTTAGCTACTTAATAATGCTTTCTTTATTGATCTTTAAAAGTATTTTTTTGAGATTTTTAGGCCTAAAATATTGAAGGAAATCTCACCCGATGACATGCCGACCACCATCATGAACAGCTTGTGAAATCAAACCCATGAGGCCTATGCTACCTCCTCCATAGACCAGATCAATGTTCCTTGAGACCTTCAAGAGACCAAAGTCAAATCAGTCCACAAAGTGTTTGTAACAATGTCTATGCAATCCCACCATCTCATTATCCCCTTGATCACAGCCCAAAACACATGGCTTGCTCCTTAAAATTATCTTTACCCACTTCCTAATCCACATTATTTTAACAATCATGTTACATGAGAAAAAAGTAAAGAAAATTAAACAATTTGTTTATGTAGATTTAGTATTTATTTATTTTTTTTTTTTTGCTTCTTAAACTAATTTTAGAAGGAATACAAAATACAATTCAAATGCATAATTAGTCCAAACATAAAAGATCACTATCATACCAAATATAATAAAAATTGTATTTTAATTTTACTTATTTTAATTACACACACATCATGCTAATTATTATATAAATTTAATGATTAAATTGTGTTTCAATAAGAGGTTTGTAAGTAGAATTAACCAAAAGAATAATTAACCTTGGGCCACTGGAGAAAAGTTTCAGAAATTGGCCCAAGAAAAAACACCATCTTCTAAAATTAGACATGCACCCTGTACTCAGCTGTTGCCATTTGACCTGCCGACTGCTCAAATGGCTTCTTCTTCATCAATCAACACTTTCTCATTCAACTCTCAACCAGACCTTCACAATCCCAACCCCTAAAACACACTACTATGTTCAAATCCCTCAGACTATATAACCCAATACACACACTCAAACTCTCTCTCTCTCTCTCTCTCTCTCTCTTCTCTAACCTCTAACCCATACACAGATGATGCAGAGTAGAGAGAAAGATAGGACTTGTCAGAAGGCATGGGTGATCTAAGCATTCTGCCATTGCTCATTATACCCATCCGATGACTTGGAAGTAAAGCTGCACAAACAATGTTATACTATAGTGATTACATTGCTAAAGTGGGAAGAGGTACAATCTCTAAAATTTCTTCTTTCTTGAATAGGAGGTGAAAAACTAGTGAAGTGAAACGTAGGTGTTTGTGCAAGATAATTCTATTCATCATTTCCCGATTACTTGATATGATCTAAGTTGAAATTGCAAATGACTTAACAAATGGTTGACCATATCTTAAAAAATTCAATGAAAGAAATTGACTGCCAATTGCAACAAATTTTAACAAAGAAGCAGATAATAGCAGGCCTTTAAACCATTTCTTTTCTCCACGGGGATTTTCATCTTGGCCCTCATCCTTGCACTCCACATGGTTCAAATGCTAATAATTTTGTTTGTTATACACATCCGATGACTTGGAAGTAAAGCTGCACAAACAATGTTATACTATAGTGATTACATTGCCAAAGTGGGAAGAGATACAATCTCTAAAATTTCTTCTTTCTTGAATAGGAGGTGAAAAACTAGTGAAGTGAAACGTAGGTGTTTGTGCAAGATAATTCTATACATCATTTCCCGATTACTTGATATGATCTAAGTTGAAATTGCAAATGACTTAACAAATGGTTGACCATATCTTAAAAAATTCAATGAAAGAAATTGACTGCCAATTGCAACAAATTTTAACAAAGAAGCAGATAATAGCAGGCCTTTAAACCTTTTTTTTTCTCCACGGGGATTTTCATCTTGGCCCTCATTCTTGCACTCCACATGGTTCAAATGCTAATAATTTTGTTTGGTCTTAGCCAGACACTATGTTATTGAGACCTGTTCATCGTAGAGAATGGTTTTTAATAGACCCTTTGTGCTTTCCATTGTCCTATAGTGGTTCATGTTAAACACTTGACATTTCTTAACACATTTGAAGATTAATTAAGCCTTATTTCCCAGACAAGAAAAATTACTTCATAGCATATCCAACCTACGGACACAATAACAGCTACTGCCAAAGCATTAGTGACCTTCCTGTAAATATCTAGTTTTTTCAACATGCATCGAGCCTACCACATCACATCGATAAACAAATGTTACTTCGGTGGATTTTTTCAGAATTCAGGCAACAATACTTATATCACATATCAATAAAAACAGCAACGCAGGTGTCATTTCAGAATCTCCCCAATTTTTACTCTCATTCTTCGAAAACCCACTTAAATTCTCTCACCCCCCAAAACATTTTCCACCTTTTGCACTGAAAATATTGTAGTTTTGTTTGTATATATAAATGAAAAGCACACACATTCATCAAAACAAATAGAAACAGACAGGTGAAGAGCACACACATTCATCAAACACATTCATAGCACTTTGAATCAACCAATCAACCCTTCAGACCCTCCCTCCTCTCTCTCTCAATCTCCAATCTTTGCATCACTTTCTAGGGTTCCAATCCCCACACTCATACTTGCATAGACAAAAATTGAGTATCACTTTTCACAGATTGAACACGAGATTTAATTGTGAAACTGTTGCATAATGCATTGGATTAAAACTGGGGTTTAGGGTTGATTTATTTATTTATTTTTAGTTAAATCTAATGAAGAGTGTTTGATTCCAATGAAGGAAAAAGAAGAGAAAAAGAGGAGAAGAAAGGCAATGAAAGTAGATGATAGCAGATGAGAGATATACCTGGATGCCAGAGGGAGAATCGGTAGGAAGTCGCTACTGCTGTTGCTACAAACAGTTTGTAAGGGTAACACGAGAGTGAGAGCGAGAGATTGTGAGGGTCTGTGTGAGCGAGTATGAGGGGAAAGAAAAGGAAATGAGAGGAGAGGAGGGTTGCCTAGAACTCTTTCCATGCTGGTGCTATTGGGGTTGTGAGAGGTGATATCCATGTACTGACCGAGATCGAGGGTGAGATCGAAAGAGAGTGGGCGGCGATGTCGGCTTGGTGAAGGTGGATCAACAAACTAATGCCGGCGGGAGTGAACTTGTAGATGAAAGATAGAGATGAGAAGCGAGAGAGAGAGAAGATGGAAGATGGAAGATGGAAAGCGAGAGAGAGAGAGAGAGAGAGAGAGAGAGAGAGAGAGAGAGAGAGAGAGAGAGAATGAGAGAGAGGGAAAACGAAATAATCAGGGCGCCAAACGTTTGAGAAATTTGGGAATGTTGGGGGTTTTGTGGCTATTAGCAATGGCACAATGATGCCCATCGCAAAAAATAAAAATAAAAAATAAAAAATAAAAAATATATATTTACGTCGGGAGGAAAGAATCGTTGCAAAAAATGAGCCTTTTGTGACGGTGATAGGTTTACTATCGCAAAAACCATTGAACATATGCTTCCTACTTTTTGAGACAGAAATTGCCATCGCAATAAGTGACTATTGGCGACGGAATATTAACCGTCGCAAAAAACAACTTTTTGTGATGACAACGTATACCGTCGCAAAAAGTTTCGTGTCATGTATCCCGCTTTCTAGTAGTGCATAGTGCAAAAAAATTACAAAAATATATAATATTTTAATTATTAAAATGTGTATAGTTTATCATTAATTTTTTTTTTTTGGGTCCCACCGGGCCCTATTTCCACCTTTCTTTATAGGCTGGCTTCAAATGGATGGCAACGGACAACAATAAAATTGACATTTCATGTATCGCAATTTAACATTTAGATATTCCATGCAATTGCTCATGGGATGATGGAGAAAATATGAGTAAAACATTTAGATGTTAAAATAAGTGAGATTTTAAATTTGAATTTATGAAGAGAAGTTTTGTTCAACAAAAAAAAATGAAAAAAAAAAGTTTTTAAAAAGACATTTTTGCGATATAATCTAATTTAGCTACTGACATATTAACCGTTATTTTGTGCATAAAAAAGGGTTAATTTTTAGTACAAAAATATGAGGTCTATATTAATAAATACATATAGGAGATACTTTTAGATTATCAAAAAAATAAAATACACATAGGAGATACCCTTGAATTTTCAAAATAAAATAAATATATGGACGAAATTTCCTCATCACCATACAATAGCATGAGGCTTGCCTTAAATACACATAGGACTGAATCAAAAATTTTAACTTAGTAATTGTGTAATGTGGCTTTGTGATTTGAGATTTTGGATCTTACCATATCATGTAAAAAAAATAAATAAATTAATAAATTAATAATAAAATACACATAAGACCTATATTTTTAGGTGTAATGGTAAAAAAATCAGATGAAAATTCAATATATGTATAATATTTTTGTAAATTTTTACAATTTCAATTCGTGTGCGCGCATGATTTACTTTACCGTCAATTGTGTAAATTTAGACAACAACCCAATTATGATTTATATTAACTAGCCGTGAGCCGTGCGGTTAGTTTTTATTTTCAAAAAAATATTTTATGTTACAATATATGTATTATAACAGAATAATATTAATTTTAATTTAAAATGAAAGTATTATTTTAATTATTTATTTTGATAAGGTTAGCACTATCGTTTTATAAAGTGTTACTTGAACCAGGGCCGGAGGGAAGGAAGGACGAGGGGTCACGTGCCCCCCTCAGTTTTGAGATTTTTTTTTTTTGTGCATGTGCCCCCCCCTCAGTTTTGAGATTTTTTTTTTCTTATCAAGTTTTTTTGTTAAAGATTTATTAAGTAATTATTTGATACTTTGATAACACTATCTGGTATTATTATGTAATAGTTTATACCAATAGTATAACGAAAAATCTTATAGATTGGATATAATGAACTTATTATTTTCAAGCAATTGACAAACTGCTTAGTGTGATTTGTGATTTTTCATGCTTTGAGCATCACGTAGGCAATGTTATATAGTATTCTAAAACGGTTTAACAATTTTCATTCGAAACACATCATTTGTAAGCAATGTTATCTCTTTAATATTTTTCTATCAAATAAAAATTAAAAATATTTTTTAATAATTTGTGCTATAAACGATGTGTTTTTATTTTCTAAAATTAAGAATTTGGATCCATAATTTTGTGTTAGAATTACAAACTTACATCACTATTGAGCTATTCTACACTATTATAGAATTTTAATTTGTTCCTATTAATAATAAATATGTAATTTTTTTATGCTTAAATTTAACTCATAAAATTATTATTATCTTAATGTTAATCATGATTTTTTTTTACATAAAAAATTATAATTAATAGTGCCCCTTCTAACTCAATTTCTTGACTCTGCCACTGACTTGAATAGTTATATATAATAATTTTAGTATAATTTTGTGTTAGAATTACAAACTTACATCACCATTGAGCTATTCTACACTATTATAGAATTTTAATTTGTTCCTATTAATAATAAATATGTAATTTTTTTATGCTTAAATTTAACTCAAAAAATTATTATTATCTTAATGTTAATCATGATTTTTTTTTACATAAAAAATTATAATTAATAGTGCCCCTTCTAACTCAATTTCTTGACTCTGCCACTGACTTGAATAGTTATATATAATAATTTTAGTTAAATTTTTTGTGTATTTTGATAATTATAGTCCTATTGTGTTATAAAAGTATAATTATCATATAATAATTTTATATGATATATATTAAATTATAAGATAGTAAAACAAACCCTTATTTTGATATTAAAATTAATAGTTAAATTGGAAGGAGAAATAATAACGCAAAATTAAAATTGATTCTAATAGTTAAATTAGGAGAATTAGTAGCATAAAATTAAAAGCGATTCTAGTTATTTAATTTTTTTTATATTCATTTGGAAAATAAAAATATGTAAAAATAGAAACAATATAAAATTTATTTAAAAAATTAAATATAAATATGTTGTAGTTGGAGTATGAAAAAAAAAATTACATAGATTAAAGTATTATTTTTTTTTCTGTAATATTCTTTTACAATTATTCTATTTTTTTGTCTATTGATATATAAAAAAAAAATTACATAGATTAAAGTATTATTTTTTTTTCTGTAATATTCTTTTACAATTATTCACATGTTTTGTTTATTGATATATAAAATTTAAATTAAATATAAATATTTCGTAGTAAAGAATTTCATGTTAAATAGAAAATTCAATATAAATTAATATTAAGATGTTAATAAGGTAGGACAAAAAATAAAAAATAATTTTAATATTTAATAAATGAAAATTAATTCATAAAGTATTAATTCTATAGGTAGTTCAAATTAAGTATAATTATTTTACATATTATATTTTTGTACTAATTAAGTATAAGGGTATATTACTGTGATATTTTTAAAAAATAGGAGAAAAGAATAATGCACAATATAGGAGAGATATATCACATTCACGTAAGAAAGATATAAAAATTGAAAACAAATCACTTTGCTTGGTTCCATTTTTCAAAAAATACTTTTAAAAAAATTTTATTTTCTTGTTTTACGTATTTTTTTATTTTTATTGAATTTTTTTAATATTTTAAGTAAATTTTTTTTTTTTTACTTTTTAAGCATATCTAACATAAATATACCTAAAAAGTAAAAAAAATTGTGAAAAAAACCTTTTAAAAATTCACTAAATACCAAAAATACAAAAAAAAAATATGAGAGTTCAATACATTTTTTATATTTTTCTGTATTTATTAATTTTTTAAAATATTTTTTCAAAATTTTTTTACTTTTTAGATACATCTAAGTAAAGTGTATGTAAAAAAATAAAAAAAGTGTTTAAAATTTTAAAAATATTCACAAAAAAAAAAAAAAAAAAAACACGAAAACCAAAATACTCAAATTTCAAAAGACTTAATCGAAAAAATTCAAACTAAACACACTGAATATTACTTTTAAAATCATTAAAAAAAATACTACTTTTAATAATAATGGGTTAACTTTGGTGGATTGGATCTTACAATTTGATGGGGATTCATCCATTATGATAATTGAACTGGCGCGCATTGCACGGCTTAAATTTTTTTTCTTTAAAAATAATGGGTCAACTTTGCTGGATTGGATCTTACAATTTGATGTCAATTCATCCATTATGATGATCGAATCGAACTAGCATTGACCGTGCATCGCACGGCTTAAGTGTTTTTTTTTTTTTTTCAAAATAATATTTTATGTGTTAGAAACAAAATAATATTTAAGGTCCGTTTGGGAAGAGTTAATTCGGCTATTTTAGTCACAAAAGATAAAATAGGTTATTTTAGTCATAAAAAATAAAACATCACATCCAACCCATAATCATTATATTATTCTCTCACAAAAAAAAATAAAAAAGACCAAAAAGTCATTCCCAAATTAGACTTTTTAGCCCAGGCTAAAATAGCCAAAAAAGCCAACCCACTTCCCAAACCAACCCTTAAGTGTGTTTAGTTTCAGTTTTCTAAATTCAGTTTTATAAAAATTGAGTTTTTTTATTTTTTTTTTGTTTTTAGTGAATATGTTTAAAATTTTAAGCACTTTTTTTTTTTATTTTAAGATGCACATTATTTAGATGTATCTAAATAGTAAATATTTTAAAAATTAATAAATACACAAAAATATGAAAATGTATTGAATTTTCGTAATTTTTTTTTTATATTTTTGGTATTTAGTGAATTTTCTAAAACTTTTTTTCAAAAATATTATACTTTTTAAATGTATTTATGTTAGACGTGTCTAAAAATTAAAAAAATTGGTTAAAATATTAAAAAAATTCCATGCAAAAAAATACGAAAAACAAAAGTAAAATTTTTTAAAAAGTGAATTCTGAAAACTGAAACCAAACAGGATTATTAATTTTATTATTGCATAAAAATATAACATAAATAAATATATAATGATTGTGTGTACATATGCATAAAATTATTTTGATTTTTTTATTTTTTATTTTGTTAAATATGCTGTGCAATCTTTGTATAATTGTGTATTTTGAATATATATATATATATATATATATATGATATTTTTATAACATAGTAAAATAAATACTCACTTTAATATTAGAAATAATGATTAAATTAGAGGAATAAATAGTAATTTAAAATTAAAGAGTTATTCTAATTATTTATTTTGATAATCTTAGGTCCCATGATTTTATAAAAAGTGCTACTTAAATAAATATATATAACAATTTTAGTTACATTATTT